CCTGTCTGTGGGCTCCAGGTGGAAGGGTCTCTGTGGTCTTGACACCCTGGGGAGAGACTCAGTCTGGGCTGGACTCCAGCAGAGGGGCCCACCCTCCTGTTCTGCTCTCTCGTGTGGCTCAAGCATGAAGTGGCCTTGCACTGAGGAGACGAAAGTTTTTGTTCGAATCTGGGTGCTGGCTGTTCAGGGGTTGTTGGGAAATGCCCAACCCTGGTGGCATTGGGCCAGTCCAGTGGGAGGCTGGCTGAGGCTCAGCCAGGCCTTCTGGTAGAATAGGGGGAGCTCTTCTCTCTGGTACATGGTTGCCAGGCAACCCAGAGAGAGCCTCCAAGATTATGTCTCCTCCCCTCGATAAGACTCATCCCATAGAGGTCCAGTGCACAACCATACAGTCACAGCCCGAAGCACACAGCCACAGCCCAGTGCCCACTGTCAAGAGACCAGGCAGGCAGGTGGACATACACCTGCTCACACAGGGTCCTAGACTCCCACGTGGACAGACCCAAATGCGCTCAGATGAACCAGGTCCACGGGGGCACATTTGTAGTCTCAGAGCTCAGTATCCACGCACCCAAATAGGTAGATCTCTACTCACACCACCACAAACCCAGTCATACACACACGCGCGCACACACACACAAGATGCACACACTGCCTCCCTGTCACACACACTGTGCACAAGTGTCCCACCTCCCAGACACACCCTCACTACAACCAGGCCCAAGCTACCCTCATGGTCTGCATCTCCTGCCCCATTGGTTCCCTCACACCCACACATACCCCCAAACCCCCAATGCCTTCTGATACAACTCTGTCTTCCCCTGCACAGTCCTGGGTTGGGGAGGGTCTCAGACCCCCCAGGGTGGTGGAAGAGGGCTCCAGGAAGGATCCACCCTATAGGATAAAAGGTGGTGGGCTTTGCACCCCTACAGGGTACCCAGGACCACACCAGTCCTGAAGGGGCCTCCCTTGGCCTCAACCCCAAAACCATTGCCCCAGCTGGGGCCCAGGAGGATTATAAGGTGGTCCCTCGAATAGGGTCCTGGTGGGGAAGGGGCAGGTTAACAACTTGAATATGGTTCTAGAGACTCAGTGTCAAGTTCTAGGCATTTTTAGGTGCTTAAAGAGAATCCAACTCCAGAGTTGAGAGACCCCAGAGTGACAGCCTTTGTGAATGATTAGTGGTCAAAGGGGAGTGAATATATGTCACAGTGTTTTGAAAATGCTCAAACAGGGCCTGGGGGTGGTTCCTTAAAGAGGGACAGCCCAGAGTGTGAGGACTCTGAGCTCAGATGTTCCCAGGTTAGAATCCAGATGCTGCTAATTGTCAGCTGTGTGACCCTTAGGCAAGCCACTTACCCCCTGAGCCTCTGTTTCCCCTTCTGTATAATGGAGAGAGTGAGACTTTCTTTATAGGAATTAGGAGGATAAAGTATATCAAGTGCTTACACAGCGCCTGGTACGGCGAGAGCATTCGATAAGATCGTCAAGAATGGAAGCATCTCAGACTTAGACTCCAGTCTCAGCTCTGCCTCTTATAAGCTGGGTGACTTGTGTCAAGCGGTTTCAGTCCTCTGAGGCTTGAGTTTCTCCATCTGTAAAAATGGGGATCCTTATACCACCAGAATGATGCAAGGGTTCAACGGGGCCACATGTGTGAACAGTTGAACCTAGTTCCTGGCTGATAGCACGTGACCCATATACAGTGGCTGTGATGATAACAATGATATTATGATATGACTATAAGCATCTAATCATCATAGTAGCATTATTATTATTGGAAGAGGCATAGACTTGGGAGACAGAGCAACTTGGCTTTGATCTCACTCTGTCCTTAGACAGCTTTGTGACCCTGGAAGCCAGAGTGCCTCCTTGAGCCAGCCGTGGCAGCTACTGCTCGTGGCTGCTGCGAAGATTCAGTGGAGCCAAAGCACCCAGCTTGGAGCCTGGCATCCGTGCGGGCTCAGTAAACACTGGTGGAGTCTAAAGAGAAAAGGCGAGTCCCTTTATTTCTGAGAGTAAGGCCAGCGTCTCTGCCCTGGGACCTGATTGGCGTCCAGCTAACTAAGTTTTCTGGTTACGTGAGGTTTCGTCCACACTGCTTCCGGCTTCTCATCTCATTGCTGTAAATCTTTAGCTTAAACGCCTGACTCCCCTCCGCATCCTCACCTCGTACGGCACATTCTCTGAGCATCGTTAACTCTTCCTCAGGGTGACCGATGAAATGGCGCGTCCCTCGGTGCATCCTGGGCCACGGGATGGGAGACTGTCCCGTGTTCCCCCACGGGACACTAGTGCCATTTGGGGTCTAGCAGTTCCTCATTTGGGGGATGGAGGGCTGTCCTGTACAGAAGAGACTGCATAGTCTAACCCCTTCCCTATCTTTTACATGTGGGGAAACTGAGGCCTGGACCACAGCGTCCACCACCATCACTTCTCACCAGCCTCTCGCAGCAGCCTAGAGTGAGAGGTGGGGAATGGAGGAGATGGTGCTGGGTGGCGGGAGCCTGCAGCATGCTCCGGAAATCAGTCATTTAACCCAATTCCAGATGTCTTCTCAGCTTGCTAGATTTGCCTCCACGATGAGCAGTTTCAGGCTACATGGTGCCAGGTGGTAGAGGTAATCACTAGGGTGCCTTTGACAGCTGAGATTTAAAATTTTCATTCCTAGACTCCCTCCCCCCTCCTCCACCATCCTTCTGCCCGGGGAGTAATTTCATATCCTTTTCTCTGCACTTAGATATAGATATATACGTATATGCTAAAAAAAAAAGAGGGCTCCTTCCTGGAGCCCTCTGCCACCACCCTGGGGGATCTTAGACCCTCCCCAACCCAGGATTGTGCAGGGGAAGACAGAGTTGTATCAGAGTTGTTGATTTTTGTAGCTTGCTTCACTTTTCCCCAAGGATTAGCATTGTCTTTCTTAGATAATCCTTAGCACGTTTTCGCTAACAGTGCGTCCCTGGTATTGTCACATAACCTCCCCTCTCTAAGCCCTGTGTCTCTCATCCGTAAAATGAGAGTTTACTATGGACCCTGCAGAGTTCCCAGGAAGGTAAAATGAGATGGCATTCACAAAGTTCTCAGAAGAGTGGATCACACATAGTAGGTGTTCAGTAAATGGCACCTACTTTTGTGCTCCTGATTTTGATTCACTGCATCAACAGTGTCCTTTATTTTATGTGAAAGCTGTGCTTCTAGAAAAGTGTATACAGCTCAGATTTGAGAACAGTGGAACCCAATTGAAAATGGGCACCATGAGTCTTTAGATAAATTTGACAGGGGCCACTTATAATTTTTTAAATTTGTCTTTATTACATTAAAAAATAACTATGCACTGTCGAAAAAGTTAGAAAAGAGTTTTACAAAAAGGTGGAAATAAAAATTGCCTATATCCTATCAGAGTTCTCCAGAGAAACAGAACCAGTAAGATATATGCAAATATATAAATCAAGAGATTGATTTAAGGAATTGGCTCATGCAGCTGTGGAGGCTGGCAAGCCTGACATCCAGAGGCTGAATTCCTTCTTCTCTGGGAAACCTCGTTTTTTCCCCTCATCCCTTCAACTGATTGGATGTGGCCCACCGACGTTTTAGAGGGAAATCTCTGTTAAGTCTCCTTAAAGTCAACGAACTGTAGATATTAATCCTATCTTCAAAAAACCTTCACAGCAACACCTAGACCAATGTCTGACCAAACAACTGGGCACCATAGCCTCACCAGGTTGACACAAAACTTAACCATCACGTCTGCTATTAAGAGATAACCGTGGTTGTTAACGTATTAGTCTATGTCCCTCCAGAGATTTACACTGAGAGAGAATTTGCGGACACAATTGATATTTTATAATATGTGGAGTTTCATGGTCTCAGTTTTTATTTAACATTCTATCTTGAACACATCTTCATCTCTTTAAAGTAACTTTTAACATCATTATTTTTGATGGGGCATAGAATCCCATTGTGTTGTCATTCCCTACTTTATTTGTCCAGTACTTCATTGTTGGACAGCAAGGTTGCTTCCAGTCTTTCACCTGTTAATTTAAATAAATGCTGCAATGAGCATCCTTATTGATGTCTTTGTGTACACCTGTAATGGATGCAAAGGGTACCCACCCAAATCCTCTTTACCACTAATGGCTCACATCTGCCCCCTTGTCTGAAAAATGACCCTTGCCCCAGCAGCCTTCCAAATGACAGACGTTGGGGAGGGGGGCACATAGGGCCAAGGTCGGCCCCTTTCCTTAAAGTGGGACCAACTCTGTGGTACAGTTTACCCTCCGGGCTGGAGGTGGGACCCAGCCAAGATCACATGCTTACTTAGCTCCTCCCCTGCCCTGTCCTGCTTCTCCTGAGAAGCCATAAAACATTGTCTCAGGTTCGGCTTCAAGTAAACCCAGCTGAAGACAACATCTCTGAGTATTGTTTTGAGGATGACTTCTATTAAAGAGATAGCAACGTCTTCTGAATTTTCTGTTGCGTAGCTGGGATGTTTCCAGATTAGGTTATCTGAAGGGGAATCTCTCCAACAAATCAGTCCCTTAGAGCACTGAGTGGGGCAGAGACTCCCGAGGCCCCGGTTTTTCCCCTAAAGCCCAGGACAATGGGAGGGAGAGGGGGCACCCCAGTGCTGGAAGGAGGGGCAGGAGAGCTCTGGACCCTTTTCTTCCCTCCGTCCTCAAATGCCCAACCCTCTCCTGATGAGATCACGAAAATCCTCCATGGCATCTGTCATTTCCCTAAATGAAAAGTTGCCACCACCAAGAATGAGAAAGCGAGACATAGGAGTGGTGACAAAGAAAAGGGGATTATAAGGCCCAGCAAGAACATCTCAGTGACCTGTGTTGTTGACAGAGATGCCAGGGTTGAGGACATTCTTTGAATTTTCTAGCTCATGAGTCTCCACTGTGGCTCACTGTGTGACCTTGGGCGAGACTCTTGCCTAGAAGGTGGCTCTCCCAGCCTACATCTGACTAGTTCTTTTCCCTCTGTCTCTCCAGATGGAAGTGCAGTCTTCCGAGGCTGCTTCCGCAGGCCCGACAACCTCTCCCTGGCCTTGCCCGTGACGGCTGCCATGCCCAACATGTCTGTGGACAAGTGTGTGGACCTTTGCACAGAGAAGGTAAGCCTGGTTCTGTGCACGGAGCTCTGGGGAGGGTGGTGTGGAGCAGCTGGAGGAACGGGATGCTTGTCCGGAGGAGCAGCAGCCCAGCTGGGATGAGAGAGGTCATTACTGTGATCTGTGACATGGGGGGAATTTGACTGTTTCATGTGGATCCAAAGGGTAGGAGTTACATGGGGCCCATTTCTTTCCCTCCAAAGAAGTGTGTTTGTTCTAATAGTGAGGACTGCTCAGGAATGAGGGCCACATGTGAACTGGGCCGAGAAGCGTGTGTAGAAGATTGCCGGGTAAAGGCAAGGACAATCCCACCTTGGGACAGAGTGAGTTCCCCATCACTGGAGGTATGCAAGCAGAGGCAGAGCAGCTGTGGCATACGGAACTTTGGACATTGGATATCAGTTGGACTGGATGATCCAACTGGCTGATCCTTTCTCAGCCTGAGATCCTTGATGGGTGACTGTTTATCCTTCCTCCCAAGCCAGACAGGGAACGCCACAAGAGCAGAGACTGTGGCCTAAAACATTTTGTGACCACTCCCAATACCCAGCACAGAGCTAGGCTCATCGCTGGCATTCAGTGATGTCTGAGGACCTCCCTCCTTCACTCAAGGTGAGCTAATTACACGAGGGTCCAAAGGAGAACCACCCTTCCCCAACCGCAAGAAGGTGGTTGCCCATTTCATTCATTCACTCAGCTAATATTTGATGAGAACCTGCTTTGTGCCAGGCCCCTGTGCTCAGTGCTGGGGGTGCAAAGTCAACAAGATATGGTCTTTATCCTCCATGACGCTGACATTTGCTGGGGGCCAACTTTGTGGCTCTTCCTGGGTGCTCAGCGTGCGCCCCAACTGCTGAATGCCCCCACCTGCTCTGACTCATCCTGCTTGGCTTTTCTTTCATCAAGGCTCCTAATTCACAAAGCATGTCTCAGGAAGACTGAAAGGATCATCATAGAAACTGCCACTTACCGAGCACCTCCTCCATGCAGCCCTCTGCCCCACGGGTCACACAGTTTACCTCTCACAACAAAGCTACGTGTTGGGAATTTTCATCCCCATTTCACAGATGACAAAACCAAGGCTCAGACAGATGAAGTCACTTGCCCAAGCTCACAGCGCAAGCAAGTGGCAGAACCGGGACTGACACCAAATCTGTTCTCTTGACTTCTGAGCTACCCTAGAGACCCCGCAGAGAGGCTTCCAGGAACCATTCAAGGGCAGCCAGGCCACTTCAAGTCACCAAACATTTCCTGAGTGCTTGCTTTGCTCCCAAGAGGCATCCTGGAAGGTCAGGGGCGATGTTCATAAGAATGAAGAAGGTTCGACCATCTTTTTGTCCAGCTTTCTCTCTTGGGCAGGAATCCCCCTCCCATGGCATCCCCTCCAGGTGGACATTCCTCTGTCCTGAGGGCTCTGGAGGAACCTACAGATCAGCCAGAGGTGGAGGACAAACACAAGACAGTGAGGTCACAGGGCAAACCAGTATGGAAGAGGGTCCAGCTGCACATAGGACTGGAGGGAAGCAAAGGTGTGGGCAGGTTGCGTGGGCGGGGTGGGGGGCGACAGGAAGACCCCACTGCAAACCTCCCTCTTCTAGTTTCTTCTAATCTCCTTAGGGCGTCACAGGAGGAAAATTGAGGGGATTAAGTGGACAGGGGTCCAGAGCTGCTTGTGTCAAGTGGTGGAGGGTCTGAAAGACTTAGGGTGTCAGAGGAGGCTTCAACATGGGTCACCGGCTAGAAAATACCATCAGTCCCAGCCCAGGTCCACCCACCTGTATCAGCATCTCTCTGATCTTTGGCTACGTGCTGTAGCTCATATTTAACACCTGTGAGAAATAAACCAAACCTACCTACCATGGCAAAGCTCACCGGAACCAGCCACGGCGGTATGACCTTGGTTTGTTACCACATTATGCCTGGACCAGCTGCCAGGGAGAATTCAGCTTCATGCGTCTGAGCAGAAGCAAGTTGGACCAAGGACAGTCCATTGCCCTCCAGATCTCAGGCCCAGCCTGCTCCCACTTAGCTCTTTCATAGAACAAATAATTAGGAGCAGCTCTCCCAGCAAAGACTGTGGCTACAGGTAGGTATCAACATCCTCTTTGGCTTAAAAGAAAGAATTCAGACAGCTTTTCCCAAAGCATGGGCTTCATATCACTGTCAGACACAGAGGATTTACTCTGGCATAATGCATGGCCATAAGAAAAACTTTTCTTTTTCAGTTTTCTTTCAAGACCTCCAGGAGAAAGCTGCTTTTCAGTGCTAAAGTATCTTTAACACCTCTCTCCCCTCAACTAATCTCCCTTTTGCAGGAAAAACAGAGTCGACCCCAGGCTCAAGTTCTTGGCAGGCAGAGTGCCTAGTTAGAATTTAATCACGTGGTTTTGTTTCTGTAGTATTGGGGTTTACAGTATGGAAATGTATGGAAATGATACTTCTCAACCAGTGCTACTTTCAGGAGTAATAAATAGTTCCTTTGGATAGAGAAAGCCCGTGTGCAGCAACCCAACACAGCCAAAAATTATATATATATATATAAATTAATTTTAAAAAGTGACTTGACACATAAAGGAAACAAATAAATGAATAATAGTACAGGAAAGTAAAAAAGAAAATGGTAACTATGTGAGGTGACGGGTGTGTTGACTAGCTTGATTGTGGTGATTATTTTGCAATGTATACATACATTGAAACGTCAAGTCGCGCATCTTAAATAGATGCAATTTTTTACTTAATTATACCTCAAAAAAGCTGGAAAATATAATAGTACAGGAGGTACGCAGATAGGCAAAATCTTGCTGCTGAAGCTTGGGGACCCTTGAGCTGGGGAGAGTGATGGAGAAGGGGACGATTGGAACGCAAATCCTGTTCTGCATCCAGAGTCCGGGCTGTCCAGGGATTTGGTGACTTTCTTCCCTTTCCTCTCCTGCTTCAACCCCAGGAGTACCCACTGGCAGCCCTTGCAGGCACCGCCTGCCACTGTGGCTTCCCCACTACGCGATTTCCCCTCCACGAGAGAGAGGACGAACAGCTCTGTGCCCAGAAGTGCAGCGCGGAGGAGTTTGAGAGCTGCGGGACACCCAGTTACTTCATTGTGTATCAGACGCAGGTCCAAGGTAAGCCAGGTCTGCCCCGACCCAGCAGACCCCCAGAAGCTCTCCCAGCGGCCTCCCTCCCAGAGATGCTCCAGCCAGTCCATTCCAGCCAGTCTTTCAGCAAGAGAACTGTGCAGGCCAGAGAGCAGAGGGCAGAGGGCAGAGGCAGGGCTGGTGAGCATAGCCAGGCTTAGAGATCCTGCATGGGCAATGGAGGGAGGGCCCCTGGCAAGGGGGATGGTTCTGAAAACCTTCATCTCTATCCCTTATACTGAAGACCCCCTTGGTGGCTCTTCCTGTAATGGGGGCTGTGAGATTGAATGGGAAAACATCTGATCTGGGAGTAGGAGACTTGGGTCTTCAACACAGACCCACTGCATGATCCTGGGCGAGTCGTGTCCCCTTTCTGGGCCTCAGTTTCTCCATCTGTAAAATGAAGCTGTAGATTGTTAGCCTTCCAATTCTAGGATTCTGCAAATTTACCTATAACTTTTTCTTCTCTTTCTCTGTCTCACTCATCCTTTCCGCTTTTATCCTTCTTCCTTTGCTAGTGGAACCCACACTCAATGTTTATCTCCTCTTCCATCTATTGGGGTACCAGACTGTGGTGACGATGGTGGTGGTGGTGGTGATGGTGGCACTTAGGGACTTTCTTTGTGCCAGACTCAGTCTTGAGTCCTTCGTATGCATTTTCTCACTGATTCCCCTCAGCTTTCCTGTGAGGCAGGAATAGTCATTATGCCTACCTTATAGGTAGGGAAACTGAGACTCAGCACAGGTGAAGGACTTGCCTGAGGTCATGGTGTTTGTAATATTACTAGATGAAAATCTTTTCTCCTGATGGAGGCATCATGAAGGGTGGTGGCACTTGGAAGGGTGCCTTGCTGGGATGCTCAGCCCAAAGGAAACCCGTGAAGGATTACCCCAATATCTGAAAAAACTGTCCACCTGCGATGTGCAGTCCTATGCCAAGCTTCATCTCATTTAATGATGGGAAGCCCACAGTAAGCCTGTGATCAGGATGATACCATCCCCATTTTACAGATGGGAGAACCAAGACTCAGAGAGATTGAGAACTGGCCATAATCACACATCTACAAGAGTGATTTGCTTTCAGGTCTCTGACTCCAAAGTCCCTGCTAGAAACCTCTGCCCACAGTGCCAAGGACACTCCCCGCACCCTCTGAAGCCTGGAGAGCTAACAAAACACCACTGGGCTAGACCTCCTCTTCATCTCCCAGGAACTAGGCTGCCATATATGGTCGGGCAGGTTGAGCACTGCACAGGCATAACCTAGAAGAAAAGTAATGCCTGAAAGCCAGCCTGCGCTCTGCCTGTCATGCCGTGCTCTCTGGATGGCAGCACATCTGCCCAGAGGAAGGGGAGGGAACCTTTATCCGATTTTTACAAAGGTGCTGTAAGAGCTAGTGGCAGCTTCACCAACAGCCTGTGCCCTGTTTGGCCTGATGGGGGTACCGGTGGTGGCCAACTGCGGCTGCTTCCATGGCAGCTGAATATTGCTAAGAGCCCAGTGAGCAGAAATGTTTTTAGCCAGTGTGGCCCTTGGCTTTATTTACACTCTGGTGAGGAAGGATGAGTGTTTGTTAGTTTCCAGGAAGTGTTGATTACTCTGTGCAGAACTGTGTTACCCCAGCTTGGGGGAAGGGTCATACACAGCTTAATTATCCCATGACCATGAACAGCTTTGATGTGGACAGAACCTACACTGGAGCCTTTTCAGTAGCCCCTGATTGATGGGTTTGCTCATTCCCAGTGCCTGGCCCCAGGCCATTACTGGTGTTCAATTTCCCATGTCACACTTGCAGGCCCTACACACTGGGGTGGCTTGAGAGTCATGTGGTTCATGAGGCTGCCAAGAGTCTGGTCCACGATGGCTGCCATTTATTGAGTACCTACTGTGTGCCGGGTACTAAGCTCTTTAGACTGAATTAACTCATCTAATCCTCATAACAGTCCAATGACATAGGTGCTGTTATTATTACCATTTTACAAATATGGCAACTCGGCACAGAGAGGTTGAGGAGCTTGGCCAGAGTCACACAGCTAGGACAGAACAGAGTTGGGATTCAGACCAAGGCAATCTGGGTCCTGAGCCTGCACTCTTAATCTCAGCTTCTCAACATACACTGCAAATACTTCACATGCATTATCCATCTAATCCTGTAAGGTTTATTAGCCCCACTTTACAGGTGAGGAAACTGAGGCTCAGAGAGGTGAAGAGCCTTGTTCAGTGTCACACAACTAGGCCATGATCATCCTAGATCGAAACACAGGTCTGTCTGATTCCAAAGCTATATACAACACTGCCTCCAGCATCTGTTTCGATTTGTGGTGCTTAAGAACCAAATAAACTTCCTTTTTAGTGCTGAAAATAACCAGCTTTATCCTCGCCGCCCAGGCAGTATTTGAATGGAGAATTCTGTTTTCAGGGGAAATTGAGGGGCCAGGTTCTTTCTCTCTCCCGACATTTTATTATGAAAAAATGTCAAACCTCCAGAAAAAAATGGAAAGAATTACACAATGAACCTGCTAGACTTATCCTACAGATTTTACATCTGTCAACATTTTGTTCTGTTTACTTTATCATACATCTCTCCATTTCTCCATCCCTCAATTTTTATTTTTGGATGCATTTCGGAGTAAGTTGCAAACATTATTACACTTCAGTCTGCATATCACTAATTATAATTCAATATTTACTTATGATTTTTTTTTTTTTTTTGCGGTACGCGGGCCTCTCACTACTGTGGCCTCTCCCGTTGCGGAGCACAGGCTCCGGACACGCAGGCTCAGCGGCCATGGCTCACGGGCCCAGCCGCTCCGCGGCATGTGGGATCTTCCTGGACCGGGGCACGAACCCGTGTCCCCTGCATCAGCAGGCGGACCCTCAACCACTGCGCCACCAGGGAAGCCCCACTTATGATTTTTTGAAGTAGCATTTACATAGAGTGAAATGCACAACTTTTAAGTGTAGTATTTGATGCCAACTGGGTCCTATGAAATCCACACCTCTGTCAAAATATAAAACATAACCACTCTCCAGAAAGTTTTGCATCTAGGCTCCTTTTTGCAATGTGTTCCCATGAAAACCATTCCCAGACACCTACTTGGCTTGATAAAGATGCTTTTTGGTTTGTTTTTTTCCAAAATCTGCTCTCCTCTGAACAAACAGATTAAATGTGCATGGTGGGGAAGAGACCTGGTCTCTGGCTAGCAGCATCAATACTAAGAGCTCACAGCATGTGAACCCTGTGTTAACATTCAACACCCATTCTCTCTTCTAACCCTCCTAACCAACCCCCAGGATGTCATCATTATCAGCATTCCCATTTTACAGGTGAGGAAACTGAGGTTTATTCAGATCCATCATTTTTCCAAGGTTACCCAGCAAGGAGATGGCAGAATTGGAATTTAAATTTAGGACTTCAAACTTTTCCCTCGAAGGGCTATTGTGAGAAAGCAAGTAAGGATAATAAATGTTTCTTGGATGAATGGATGGATGGATGGATGGGTAGATGGATGGTTAGGTGGATGCCAGATAGTATGGAAAGTGCCAGGGAATCAGCAAAGGACAATATGGGCAGGGTTCCTGACTAAACGAATAATTATTTGAATTACAGTAGCAGAAAGTAATACGAGAGATGGACATAGTACACTAATGATAGCCCAGGGAGTCAGAGAAGGAAGGGAGGGAGGGAAGGAAGGAAGGAAGGAAGGGAGGGAGGGAGGGAGGGAGGGAGGAAAGAAGGAAGGAAGGGAGGAAGGAAGGGTCCAGTTCAGCAGAGAGCAGGATAATAAGCAGTCAAAGGCAGGTAGGAGGCAGTGAAGGCTGAGGGACCAGTGCACCTGAAGCTGCCAAGTCAGGAAGGAGCAGAGCACGGATGAGACAGTGAAAGAACCAAGTGGCTGGCAGGTGGGGGAGTTTGAGGAGAGAGCATGTGGGTGGCGTGAGCCTGGGAGGATGCAAGGGCCAGGCCACACGGGGCTTGAAGGTCAAGATAAAAACCTTGGACTCAGTCCCATGCAGATGGACGGCATTTGTGAGTTTTAATCTGGAGGCAGGTGTGGGGGTGATAAGAGACTCAGTGGGACAGGGGAGAAACTGAGGCTGGAGAGAAGGCTCATCCTCCTGGCTGACTTTTATTGAATCCCTACCATGTGCTTATCCTTTTTCATATATTATCTCATATAGCCATTTTCCCATTTCCAAATGAGGAAACAGGCCCAGAAAGCACCGGGTCGCACAGCTGGGAAGTGGCAGGGACGGGACTCACACCCTGGTCCCTTCTAAACAGGCTCCTTCTGATGTGCCCCTGCCACTGACCCCTGTCTGTGCCCTGCCCTTTGCAGACAACCGCTGCATGGACAGAAGGTTCCTTCCAGCCAAGTCCAAGCAGCTCATCGCTCTGGCCAGCTTCCCAGGTGCCGGCAACACGTGGGCTCGCCACCTCATCGAGCTGGCCACCGGCTTCTACACCGGCAGCTACTACTTCGACGGTTCTCTCTACAACAAAGGTGAGGAGGCGGAGGGGAACAGGGAACGGGGGCAGGAGCTCGGGAAGGACCCCCTGGGAGGGCATGGGAATACCCCTTCCTGAGCACCTACTATGTGCTGCTCAGCTCACCTGGGCATGTTTATCGAGACCTACTATGTGCTTGGTACCTTCCCTTCACTTACATCCCACAAACATTTCCTGAGTATCATGTCCTGGGTACCTCACCTGCTTCCGTCAACATTAGACACTTATTAAGCACCTACTATGTGCCTGGGACCTTCCCTCCATTTAAGTCATTCCTTCAGCACTTACTGTATGCTGGGCACCTCATACAGGAAACTGAAGCCCAAAGAGGTGACACGATGTCCCAGATCACTCATTTGAGTTGGAAACACAGCCAGTGTCTTGAAGGTCTAGTATGGATACATTAGCATTCTAACTGGCTTCGAAGAGCCCATCCAAATGCCTTAACTCTCATGGGCATGGGAGGCCAAGATGGAGAAGAGCACAGTCTTGGGCGGCAGGATGGCTTAGCTTTGAACCTTATTCGCAACCCCTACAAGGCCCTCATGGCGGAGTTCAACCGCAAGTATGGCGGACACATCAGCTTTGCTGCCCATGCCCATTGGAAGGGCCTCTCGCTAGCTCTGTAACTTGGGCAAGTTATTTGCTCTCCCTGGGACTCAGTTTCATCATCTATCAAATAAAACCCACAAAGGATTATTGAAAGGATCAGTTGTCTACTACATGAAAAGGGCTCAGAGCAGTGTTCAGCATGGAGTCAGTGCTATAGAAGCATCCTCCAGCTACCCAGAATGGCTTTCAGTTCCTCAGCTTTTGAAATGAGAACCTGATCCGGTCCCTCCTTCCTTTTGCTTAATTCCTTTTAAGGGCTGTGTAGTCTTTCTGGTCCAGTACTAAAACTCTTCATCACATCCCCCTCTTGCCCTCTGCTCTCCTGTACCAGTCGCTCATGTGTGACACGTTTCTTCCCACCCACCACAGGACCTTTGCACCTGCTGTTCCCACCACCTTTCCCTCCTCACTTGGGTTGGTAAATTTTTCCTCGTCCTTCAGTTCTCAGCCTAAGCACCCCTTCTCCCAGGAAGTCTTTCTGGATGCTGCCTGACTAGGTCAGTGATCTTGGCCAGGCTGGCTGGGCTGCTCAGCTGCAGACTGCAGGTTGGACCCGTGTCTGTTCCATGGGTCTCTCACCATCTGGGACCAACAGGCTTCCAGGGCATGTCCTTCTCACAGTGACAGCAGAAACACACAGAGTGAACAGAAATGTGATGCATCCTGAGACTTTGGCAGAGACCCATTTCCGCCCTCAATCCGCTGGCCAAAGCCAGTCATACGGCGTGCCCAGCATCAGTGGGGTAGAGATGTAGACTCCACCCAAAGAGGAGTCCTCCAGCACATCACTGTCAGGCCCCTCTCGTGGCACGTAGGCATGATTACTCCTCTTCTGAAGCTCTAACCACGGCAGTGACTTTACATTGATTTGTGTCACTATTCAAATTATGTGGCTCTCAAAAACTAAGACCCATGGATGTTTTTGTAAATCATTTTCTCCCTGCACAGTGCCTGGCATGTAGTAGGTGCTCTATCAGTACGTGAGTAAATGAATGAGTAGACAAATGAACGTCTGAGGATTCCTGAAGGGGTCCAGGAGGGGGTGGGGTGGACCTCTTGTCTCCCTCAGCTCAGTGCCACGTTCCCTATTCCCCTGGTTGTGGGAAGGGTTTAAAGGTGAGCGGGACCACTGGCGCAGCGGGAGGACCATCTGCATCAAGACGCACGAGAGTGGCCAGAAGGAGATCGAGGCCTTCGACGCAGCCATCCTGCTCATCCGTAACCCCTACAAGGCCCTCATGGCAGAGTTCAACCGCAAGTACGGCGGACACATCGGCTTTGCTGCCCATGCCCATTGGAAGGGCAAAGGTACTGCTTTGGAGTGGGGGGGGTGGAGCCCTAGGGTGTAGAGGGCAGTGCGAGGGGCTAGTGCTGTCTCCTGCCAGGAATACAGGAGGGCATCCTTGAGGGCATGTGTGTAAGTGTCCAGGTCCTGCTTACAGATGAGGAGGTATGCTTTGCACATCCCACCGTACCCACCAGCATCACCCTCTGTGAGCTAGGTTGTTACCATGGCACAGTGGTTAAGGGCATGGGCTCTGGACCAAGACTCCCTGAGTTCAGATCCCAACTCCACCACTTCCTAGAAAAGCGCCTTCACCTCCATGAACTTAGATTGTCCTGTTTATAAAGTGGAGGTAGTAAAACCCAAGAATTTAACCCTTTAAAAACACTCAGTGGACCCTCGTATTCAAGAGCCCTTTCCTGGGATCTGAATCCAGCCCAAGGTCAGTGGCTGAGTGGCCATGAGGTCACCTATGAGCTCCTAAGATCATCATTCTATGAACCCCCTCCACTACTCTGGATTGGAAAACTCAGAGAGGTTAAGTGACTTGCCCCAGGTATAGCTGGGAAGTGACAGTGTCGGTCTCCGAGCGCTAAACTTCATTAAGATGATCTGAATTTGATGTTCACCTCTGGTGCTTAGTAGATTCCAGAATGGAAGAACGTCTCAGTACAGAGCAGCAGCCCACAGTAGTGGGGAGAGCTCCGAAGTCAGACCCAACCTCCTCAAAATCCCATGTCAGTTATCACCCATATCTCCATTACCATAATGAAAGTCACCTCCATGCGTGACCAGAATGTCAGCAACACCCCAAGGTGAGAGACAGCCTGGTAGCTAATGCCTGGGTTAGGTTCACACAGTTCACCCTGTGTCATGGATGGGGCAAGCTAGCTTCAGGGAGGTGAAGGCACTTTTCCAGGAAGTGGTGGGGCAGGGGTTTGAACCCAGGGAGTCTTGCTCCTGAGCCCGTACCCTTAACCACTGAGCTATGATAATGAGTTAGACTGAACGTCAGTGGCTACAGATCCCCCCCACTCAGAGCTCCTGATGCCAAGTAAGTACTCTGTGAACGTGAGCCCAGCCGACCTCATCCAGCTTCAAGGAACCAGGCTGCTGCAGCCTCTAGGCCCAGGGGTGCTTCCCACTCCTCCAAACCCTCCCCCTGGCCCCCAGCTGCTCCACGCTCCAGCCCCTCCCCAGAGAGAACCGGAGCAGGCAGGACAACGTTAACTCAGCCAATCACATTCTCAGCACTGATGTCATTGATGAAAACTCTTGGGCCTGCCTGACCAACTGTGCCCTGGGTTCCCAGTTTGCTCAAGGGGCCTGTCTGTCCCTTCCCCTGCTTCACCGCCTCTCTCAGTGAGGGGGTGGAAGCTTGGACAGGTGATGACATTTGTTCCCAGGGGTAAAGAGACCTCTGAATTATTTATTTGTAGAACAATCAAAAATGACCACTGTTTGGGGCCAGGCTGAGAAGTTTGCAGGTGCCAACGGCAGGATCCTGTCCCAGGAGCAGATGTTCTGCTTGTCAAGCTGGAAGGGACCTGGGAGATCGCTGAACCCAGGCGTCCTCAGCCCCAGCAGCACATCAGAATCCCAGGATGTGGGGAAGTCCCAGTTCCAAGGCTGCACCCCAGACGATTACTGGAGTGGAGCCTGGGCACTGGTATTTTTTAAAGCAGTGTGCAGGCAGGCCTGAGAACCACGGATTCATTCTCTATTAATGGGGAAAATGAGGCCCAAGAGAGGCAGGGCCTGCCAGAGTCCTCGGGCACATAATGGCAGGACTAGAGTCCAGCTCTCCACCTCCCAAGCATCCTACTGCCCCAAGTAAAAAGGGAGGGAATTCACTTGGGAAGCTCATATGGGACCAGGCACTTAGCAATAATTATCTCATTTAAATCTTCTAATTACCCGAGGAGGTAAGAAGGGCTGCCACAATCACCATCCCAGGAAGGGAGCGAGTCGTGTGGCGGAGGCCCCAGGAGTTGAGCGAGCTGAGATCCAAAGCCAGGCATTAGCTACCAGGCTGTCTCTCACCTCGGGGTGTTGCTGACATTCTGGTACATTCAGAGGCTCCCCGCTCCTGGCATAACCCCTCGTCTCAGGTTTAGGCAATTTCCTAATTCCCAGGAGCCACCTTGCCTCTTCCTTATTCAAGACAGTTGGGAGCTTTAAAACCAAAGATAAGGGAGGTGTCAGGACAGGCTGAGCCCAGAGGCTGCAGGGGATGGGAAAGAGGAGATTTCAGGACACACACCTCCTATGGGGGGCCTGGGGCCCCCTCGTTAGTCTGGGCTGGGAGGGACCTTCTCCCAGTGCTTCCTCCCAGGCCTGACCCAGGTCTTCAAGTGCTCTGCCTGAGAGCCTTCCCCAAAGAACCCCATCCCCACGGAGCCCACCCACTCATTCCTCTCATTTGCATTAACATCTGACCCTGTAGGCACTTGAGTTTGAGACCCTTGCCTGCTCCAGCAGCGTCAGTATCACTTGGGAATTAGTTTGAAATGCAGATTCTCAGGTCCCACCTCACGCTTACTGGATCAGAATTCTCATTTTAACAAGATTCCTTCCAGAAGCTTCTTGTGAGCTTTCAAATTTGAGAATCACTGCTTTAGGACACCCTCGGCCAGGAATGTGAGGGTTACTCCCACCTAAGAGCAGAGGTCACTCACCTGCTGAGAGGTCACTCACCCGTGTCCCCCTCCCAGTTATAGCTGGGTCGAGGCTCGTGTCACCACCACCCACACACCCCCGGCTTTTGTTTCCATAACGTTGATTTTATGATATCCCTGGAGTGGGCCCAAAGCAAAGTTTTATGTGATATGATTACACAAGGTGAATTGTCCTGGATCTGTTTAATGAAACAGAGACCGTGTTTAATGATTCCGTGGAGAATTAAATACAGTTAAGCTATTAATCAGACCCCGGTTCCTCCCTTTGACAAGAAGATGAAGCAGAGAGTGGCCAGCGCATGTCCCGCCGGGCCCTTGTGGGGGACAGTTCTGGCAGAACCAGCACTCATCACCTGTGGTCCATAGCATAGTGTGCCTTTATTACCCAATTTGAAGGCAGCCATCAATTACCGGGAATCCTGAGCTAAATGAGGGCTTTTGTTTTTCATTTTCATTTTTGTTCTTCTTCATTCCAGCGAAGTCATTCAGGAGCTTCAAGTGAGGGATCTTTGCTCTAGGAAGGGGTGGGGAGGGGGCGAGTATCTGCTGCCCCAAAATGATGGGCCACTTGGGGCATCTCAGAGATGCTGGGGACCAACATCAAGAATAGTTGTAGCCAACATTTATCCAGCGCCTGCTATGTCCCAGGCCTGGTGCCAGGGTCTGCAAATCTTATTCCATTCCATCTGTATGGCATGTCTAGGATGGAGTTCTTAGCACAGTTGCCATTGTGCAGATGGGTAAACTGAGGCTCAAGGAGACCTCCTGACGTCCCCAAGGTCACACAGCCAATATGGAGAGGAGCTGGGTTTTGAACCCTGGCAGTCTGACTCCAAAGTCTTCTGTGAACAGACCCGTGTCTTAGATGACACCTGAAGGTGAGGTAAGCGGATGTAGACTAGGATCTGGGGCGAGAAGAGTGCTGGAGATGATCAGATCAGGTGCTCTTAAAGGGTTTGCCAGGAGGGCAGGAGCCAGGCTCATTCCCGTGTGTAAGATGGAGCTAGAGTAATTCCTACTCTCCAGGGGCACTGGAGAGGTAGTGCGTGCAAAGTGCCCAGCACAGCCCTGGCACACAGTAGGTGCTCAGGCAACATACATTCCCACCCCAGGGAAGTTTGCAGTCACAGGGATGCCATGTCATCTCCCCCTCACCTGTGTCCAAGGCCAGGGGCACCACCTGGGGGATCCAGGCCATCATGCAGACAGGCCCTTCCTTTTTCTTGAGGACCACCCTCCAGGAACCTCTTGAGATGGTCACAAGTGGCTAAGCCTGGAAGTCCATCCAGATGGACTGAGTAACTGAGTGCCTTCTGCATCCATCTGGGTTTCTGCCATGGGAGCGGCAGTTGTCCTGAATCACCAGGGACGCTGTGAGATGACTCAGGAATGGGGACATTCTTTCTCAAAAAGTAAAGCAGAGTATACACATGCTAGATTTTTTCCTAATCACACAGATACATCTGGTCTTATAACAGTACGGGCCCAGTTAGCTAGATACATTGTAAATAATCTATTTGAAGGATAAAAATTATCTTTGTCAGGGGCTTCCCTGGTGGCGCAGTGGTTGAGAGTCTGCCTGCTGATGCAGGGGACACGGGTTCGTGCCCCGGTCCGGGAGGATCCCACATGCCGCGGAGCGTCTGGGCCCGTGAGCCATGGCCGCTGAGCCTGTGCGTCTGGAGCCTGTGCTTCGCAACGGGAGAGGCCACAACAGTGAGAGGCCCCCGCGTACCGCAAAAAAATATATATCTTTGTCATCAGCATAAATATTTCCCAAGCAGCTGTGGTGTTCCAGGGGGTCACTGGGGGAGCAGGAGCCTCACCACAGATTCTGATGTGCTCTGCAAAGAAAGAGGAGCCCTTTATCACATCACAGCTTGGCGGCTGGGAATTTCAATTTAGTTCAACAACCATTTATTAAGCCCCTGCTGGGTGTGAGGCAGTGGGAGGGAGTGGGGGTGAGGCTGCTGGTGCCTAGGAAAGGTGGGGGCCTGGAATCAGGCAGGGCTGGTCTGGATTATGCTTCCTGGCTGTGTGACCTTGGGCAAATTACTTCACGTCTCTGAGCCTCAGTTTCCTCACTGGTGACAAATGAACAGTAGTCTTTTCCTTTCAGGGTAGTTACTATGATTAAATGAGATAAGGGGTATCCATCATCCAGCAAAGCATGAGGATTTAGTTATTAAGAACCAGCTGGGCTCCCCAACGCAGCTTGGGAGACTCACTGAGCCTCGTTCAGTAAACATATCTGTCTGGAAGGTGCAGAGTGGTGCTGCCCCTGTGAGAAGCAGGGGGTATGGCTTCAGGGTTCCGGAGTACAGGCCCTGTGATTCTCCAGCTGGGGCTCAGAATTGAGGCTGCAAATCCCTCTCTCTGTTCCCAACATCCTCCGAGACCCCCCTCCTGGGTTTCCCTTTATCAGAGTTTCAACAGCTCCTGGGGCTGGCTGGCTGGCCGTCTCTCTGAGGTCTTCTCCAGGGCTCTCTGGTGAATTTCCCACATTCTGTTGTAGCCTGTCTCTTTCTTGAGTCAGGGGATCCCAAACACACACTCCCAATCTGGGTGACAATCCATCCTGTCCTTTTACCATGGCAAGGGAACAAACAGCACAAAGAAACAGTATGTGGTACTTCAATAAAAAGCAAAGAAAGAAAGATAGGATAGAAAGGTGTCAAAATGACAATGTAAATAATCTGATTTAAACTGCCCTCAGCCCAGAGGAGGTACCTGCCTGAGCCTGGGGAGTCAGGGAAGATGACATCTCACCTGAGAACAGAATAATCACAGTAATAATAGCCAACATTTACTGAGCACCTACTGGGTACAGGGCACCATGCTGAAAATTTTGTATGCTTTTTCCACTTCTCTGTACAAAGGCCCTATTGCTATCCTGGGAGAAGATACTGTTACTACACAGGATAACTTGGTAGTGGAAAGCCCAAACTTTGCTGCCAGACTGTTTGGTTTCAAATCCTGGCTCTGCCAGTTATTAGCTGCGTGACCTTGGGCAAGTTACTTAACCTCTCTGTGCCTGAGTTCCCCCTTCTGTAAATGAAGAAAACGATGATGCCTGCCTCACAGTGTTCTTGTGAGGAATAAGTGAACTGATAGCTCTATTAGTATATTTATTACACTCTATATTAAGATCAATATATATTAAAATATAAAAATAGAGTAACAAGGATTTATATATGTCTGTGCCTGGCATGGAGTAAGCACCAGACAGATGTCATTCTCCCCAGAGAGAAGGAAGGGCTAAGATGATTCCAGGCAGAAGCAGCAGCCCCGAGGTGGGAGGAGGGAGGCAAGTTTGGTGATCTAAGGGTTAACAGTGGTGGCGCTGTTGTGAATAGCCAACGCCATCTGACCTGTGTCCTCCCGCTGACCTGGGCCTCCTTGCTCTGTCCACAGAGTGGCCAGAGTTCGTAAGGAACTACGCCCCGTGGTGGGCCACGCACACACTGGACTGGCTCAAGTTCGGCAAGAAGGTGCTGGTGGTGCACTTTGAGGACCTGAAGCAGGACCTCTTCGTCCAGCTGGGCCGGATGGTCGGCCTGCTGGGTGTGGCTGTCAGGGAGGACCGACTGCTGTGTGTGGAGAGCCAGAAGGACGGCAACTTCAAGCGCTCGGGGCTCCGGAAGCTGGAGTACGACCCCTACACGGTGGACATGCAGAAGACCATCTCTGCCTACATCAAGACGGTGGATGCGGCCCTTAAAGGGAGGAACCTCACGGGCGTTCCCGATGACTACTACCCCAGATGATGGGTCGGAGCGGGGCGGGGAGCTGGCAGTCCAGACCAAGCAGGCCCTGGGGACTCCAGACCCCTGGGGGCCCACACCCATCAGTCCCCTCTTCGATTTGGGGACAATCCCCATGGCTGCTGTTGCCTTTCGCTGAGTTTCCTGCATGACAAAGGAGGCTCAAGCGAAGAGATTGTGCAGGCACGCCCCACCTACTCACACCGCGCCCCCAGAGATGGAGGGGGCAACTGGGTTAGGGAGCTCTAGCCACATGGACCCTTCTCTGTCTCCCGTGTCCCTGTGCCCACCACTCTGGGCTCCACTTGTGGGAAGGAGGGCTCATGGGTGTCCCAGAGACAAGGGTGCCCCACTGCAGGTTTTGAGAACCCTGGTGCAAGAGCTAAAGAGAATGACATGGAAAAATGTGGCCCCAGACTCTCCTCCGTGCTGAGCTGAGCACTCAGAGCTTCCCCGTCTCTGCCCCACCCAGGAAGCGCTGATGCCAGGGTTTATCCTAGCCACTTCTGTTTGAAGAAAGATTGCTGGGAGGTTTCTCTGCGGCCTTAGGTTTCTGACGTTCTGGGTGGATCAGGGAAGCAATGGTGCTCAGAGCAGGTTAACTGGGGCCACCGCGTGGGGTCACTGACATCCCAATCCACCCCCCTACCAGGTCACAGCGCTCCTGAGAAATGACCCGGTTCCTGTCCACCTCGAGGGCTGGAATTCTTCCCTTTCTTCCCCAGCTGTATCCAGGTGGTGACCCACTTCCAGGGTCCTCAGGCACCAACCATTATCTCACCAGGATGGCCACAAGCCCCATGCAGAATCTGAGTGAGAATGAGAGCCCTGGTAACACACCTCCCCACCGTGGGGTCCAACACGTTGATCTGACACTGCCCTTCTGACCCCTACCAGTAGGTCCCTTGCTATCCAGGAGAGAGAACAAGAGTGCTCCAAATCAGGTGGAACCATGAGCGAAAGTGACCCCCACTACCTTCCCAGACCATAGACCTCCCTTTGGTCATAGGCCAGCTTCTCTTAGGGGGTTAAGGAACGGGGTGAGTGGGGTGGTTGTTCATGTCCATACAAACGCTGCTCTTTTGATGCTGAGACATCAAACCAAAGGATTCCCGAGGACCTGAATCACTGATCATCTATCTCAGAAAGCATTGAGATCCAGGATCCCATCTCTCCCCCCCACCTTGGGTACCAGTGATTTCGCATCCAGCCCACATTTGTGCACCTACACCATCCCCCCACCGTGTAGGTGCAAAAGCCATAGGTCACAGCTCTTTGCTATTCTGTCTGGAGCAGCCCCCCAAGCAGCCACCTCTGAAGCCTTGGGGTGCAGATAAATGCTCATTCCCAAATAGCCAAGAGACTGTGGAGAAGGCGAGTGTAAAGAGATATATTTTTTTAAGAGGAATATGACTAATACATTCCACCCCTTCGAACGTGGCCATGCAAAGAGAAGGGCCAGGGGATTGGACCTGTGGTTCTCTTCCCTGAGCCCCTCATCTGTAGGATTCGGGCCACCCCGGGGCCCAGCCAGGGGGCTCTGAATGTATTTTGTACCGTGTTTCTTTCCCCCAGGCAAATTTCTAGTCTTCTTTCACGAAGCAGTTAGAGGGCTTGGCCTCCCTTCCCTCTTAGAGGTCAGCTCTCTCTGGGAGACTCTGGGTCCAAGACCTGGGCCAGTTCTTTGCTGGTGGTCACCTCAGACCACCAGCCTCTGTCTGAAGATTCCTCAGGTCAACACCATCATTAAAAACAAGTTTTGTTGATAATTCTACCACGTGATAGACTGTCATGTAAGGCGAGGTCACAAATGGAATGTTTTTCTGGTGTGTGTGTGTGTGTGTGTGTGTGTGTGTGTGTGTGTGTGTAAGAGACAGAGACAGAGAATGTTCTGGGAGCATAATTGCTTTGATGTCTGTGCAACTTTAACTGCCTGTGAAGAACTGTGTATCTTGGTGTGTAACATTGTCTCTGCCTCTGTGTTCAACTGCCCTTCTGTGTGGTGATGCTGCATCCCCCGGGCTGGTGTGATGACCGCCCAGTGTCTGATGTGTCTGTGTGCCCTCTCCAAAAAGTGCCACCCAAACCCTGGCACTTGAGGAGGAAGGAAAGCTTTGCATTCCAGTGGTCCCCAGGGCAGGGGACATGCCTGGCCTGCAAGCCGGGACACGTAGGCTCTCATCTTGCTGTCACCTCCGGTACACCTCCAGAACTCAAGGAGAACAAACAGGGCCCAGCATCTGCTGACGGCTGGGATTTCCTCCTGATTTCTCCAGGAACCCTGGAGGCCGCTGCAAACGTATCCCTGGTAGACAATGTGGGTGGGAGAAAAGGATGGGGAGGCAAAGGGGATGGTGGGGGGCAAGGTCCTACAGGGACCCAGCTCCTCCTAGAGGCTTTCTTCCCTTCCCCCCATCTCTCTTGCATTGGTTTGTTTTCTGGCCATCCCCACCCCCGTCACTGTTTTTCTTTACACTGCCTCCTGCTCTCAATTTCTCTCTTTGTGGTCTCTTTCATTTCTTCCAGCTGCTCATTAAACCTCTTTTCTTTCTTGTCTTTCTCCTCTCTCTCTCCCTCCCCCCATCCCTGAATCTCTCTCTCTCTTCCATCGTAATCTCTTTCTTGATTTCTGCTTCTCTTTGTGCAAGCAACTCTCTCCCTGTCTCTCTTAATCTCTGTGTCTCTGCCTGTCTCTTGCTCCCTGTCTCCCTTCCTCCCCACCCCTGTTGTTCTCTCCCACCTCTTCCTCCTCATCTTCCTGGAGAGTGGGGGCGACTCAGTGGGATCCAGACCCAGTGAGACAAATGCTACCCAGGCCGGTAACCAAGGAAGTGGTTTCCTTAGCAACAGAATCTGCAGGCACGTGCTCCACTGCCCCATCCCTTAGCTATTACAGTAAGTACTGAGAGGGCGGGGGGCAAGCCTGGAGATGGGGCAGTTGCTATAGAGGCTGCTGTATTGGTCCTCTTGAGAGGGGACAGCGGTCAGAGACCAGCTCAGTTCCTGGCACTTTGGGGACACTCAAAAAAAAATAGAGGGGCTGTGGGGTCAGAAAGAGGCAGAGAGAGTGGAGACAGCTGGGGAAGGAGTCCACAGGACCTGGTGACAGGCTGGATTCAGGGAAGGGGAGGTGGCCAGGAAGGTAAAGGGGCACCAAGATTCTGTCTGTGCATCTCCAGAAGGAGGTCCTTTGACTGAGATGGAGAACAGGGAGGGCAGAGGAGCAGGTGGGGGTGGGGGTATGGTAAACTGACATAGCTCCCTGTCCCCAAGAGTTCACCATCTAGTTGGGGTGACGTTGTGGGAGGGAAGGTGGCAACAGACAGAAATATCTCACTCAGTTCTCCCTACAAATTGGCAACAAGGAGCCCCGGAGAAAAAAGCACGGCCCCGAGGGTGGTGAGAGACTCAGGGACGGTAAGTAATTTGATCGTGTGGCCCAAACGTTGGTGGTGACACTTGGATTCGAAGGATCCAGAACCTGTCCCGAAGATGGAGGACAGAAGAGGGTAGACTATAAAGAGACAGGCAGGAAGGAGACAGGAAGAGAGAGAGATTTAAATCATCCATCTGGCACTTTTTCCTACAGGGAAAACAAAAATATGTTCAGTTTTAGAGAAATGACAAAGGGGGAGGGAGGAAACAAAAGCACCCTACAGGATGATAGCTTCTGCAGCTATAACTATCCCCAAAGAAAGCACCTGTCAAGATGCATTCACTCCCAGGGAAACGGATTGTGTCCCTGGTCTAGGCTGATATTTAAATGACTCAGAGCGGGTTACGGGGGCGAAGGGCAGAAAGTTGATCAATGTAACATGAAAACCTCGCTCTGCTTTTCCCCAAATGCAATAAAGCATGCAGGCGAGGAGAGCTGTAAATCTGGATGATAATAATATCCGTCCCCGCAAAACCAACATGTTTATTTATCACGTTTGCACATTTACTATTTCCCCTCAAATTTACAGTCTGCAATCTGCCGGCGTGCAGGGGGAGAAGCATGGAAATGAGAACAAACTGGCAGAACATCAAGAAGGGAAGAAATGATGAAATATTTATCCCCTCTGTCCACTCGCCCCCCCACCCCCCACCCCGGCTGTCTTAAATCCACTTTCAAACCAAGGTGGTGATTTATCCGAGCAGTACCATGCATCTCTATTTCAGGCCTCTGCCAGCTAATTGAAATGATGTCATTATAGAATGGAATGTGTTGCAACAAAATGATTTTTGTGTATTCTGGAATCATTTGCTAAACAATTATGGGGAATGAACAATCCTCCAGAAGTGAGAGAGGGGGGTCGATCTTAGGGGGGGACAAGACTTGTGTGTGTCCTAATGTCGGGGTTGAGAGGGAACAGGAAGCAACTTAGAGGCCAGATTCTCTTCCAAGACCTGAGTTAGGCGCCCAACCCATAGTCAGAGTTCCCCGGGCTTCCAAAACGTGGAATGCCCATGCCTTATCCTAGACCTTCTGGATCAGATTTCCCAAAAGATGGAGTCCAGGTGTGGATGTGAAGGATCTGGTGGGCTTGCTGGGAGGCAAAGTCGTATTTACAATTGTCTTGTTGATAATTACTGGCTCCGATCTATGCTCCATGGTAGAAGCATTCAAAGGATTGTTATTACCATCCCTACATCCATGGCTTTTCACGCATCGTGATCTACGTATCCCTAGAACTAGCACAGTGCTTGGCACACAGCAGGTGTGACCAGAATGCTTGTTGATTTTCTGAATGAGTCTATCACGGACTCTTAAAGGATATTCAGAGAAAAACCACAAGTCATCAGCCAAAGCAGGCCCTTAGCTGCCCTGAATTTTCTCTCCAGTAATACTGAATTGTTTTTCTATTCTCTCACCCCCAGCCTGAGCCCCTAAAGCCGATGGTGTGGTGCAGCCCACTTACACTAGCTCTCAAAAGCCCATTGTGCACATCTCTTCTCAAATTCACATTCAGTGACATCACATCGGTAGCTTGAAATTGGCCATGGTGAGAATATTTACACCATGGAAATTGGCAACTGCTACAAATCAGGTGAGTGGTTTTTTCGTTTTGTTTGGCGAGCCAGTTGTTAAGTATCTGCCAGCATACCACTGCCCAAAGCACACAGGCACATATGTGCTATTTCTAGTCTTTTCCATGCCTTTATTCATGCTGCCCCCTCTACCTGGAAAGCCTCCTTAAGACTCAGCTCAGGATCTTCCTCCTCCAGGCAGCTTCCCCGATCACAAAGACGAAATTCAACTCCTCCTCTAACAACTCTGGATGTGGCCATTGTTGTGATCTCTTCAGTAAGCTGGTGCATGTCTCTCTCTCTCAGTGCTCAGGGCATGAGCTCTGTTAGGGCAGGAACCTTGTCTTCGCCTCTGGATTTCCACGTGCTTCCTGGCCCAGATGAGC